ATGAGAATTAAAGCCTTTGAATATTTTACCAGACATATTTAGCTGCTAGATGTTAGTCAGATAATGTTTATATGTTCTTCTTAATGCCAACTGTGTAAATAATTATCGATAATATGCTTATGATAAGCCGTTGTACCTTCAAGCTTTGTGTGTGCCCGTGAAACAGCCCGTGAGCGCCAGCACACACACATATCATGTACATCTCGACATGCGAAAGTGTTTCTCTATGTGTTGTTGACAATACTAATCCATCCACAGAGTTTGTAATTTAGTCAAATGTTTACAAATACAAGAGCAGCTGTTAAGAGGTAATTTCTGGTAATTTACCGGTATTTTGGAATGGATGTGTAAATGCTCTTTTCCGGAAAAATTCCGTAACGTTCTCGCCTGTGTGAACAGCGCTTTTTTGAATTTACCGGTAAAGTCGTTCCGGTAATTTTCCAGATATTTACTGGTATCAGTGTGTGAAAGGGGCTATAGTTTAATTACTATGACCATTTATGTGAAGCTGCTTTGACACAATCTACAGTGTAAAAGCGCTATACAAATAAAGATCAATTGAACTGAATTGAATTGACTCTGGCATGAATATACACCGTATTTGGGTGTCAAACTTTGGGTGTTAAACACATATTGCACCTTTAAGTATGATCACTTAAGCTTTTATAAGCGTTTATGTACTTTTACAGGGCAGAATAAGTACAGGATGTTATTTAACTTTTACTGACCAAAGAAGTGACTTAAAAAAATGCATTTAAAGTGTACTGCATTTTTTTAAAAGTAACATGTTGGTCAGTAAAAGTTGAAAAACATCAAATCACAGGTAAATAAGTCAATTAAATTGGAAAATCTAACGAGAAAGGAGATTTTCAAAACAAAATGACTCTTAATCCATGAAAGATCAGCCTATAAGATTGTTTTTTATTTTACTTGGTAACCATAACTTGTATATTAATTCAATAACTTCTAAAGTCTGGGACCCTGAGAGGTTTTAATGGAATTTCTTCAATAAAAAAAGCGGTGAGATGTAAGGGGACATCGATGACACACACACACACATGCACACACACTCCACGGATGTTCCTTTGAACCCCCTCAGACATTCTCTGCATTCTTCAGCTGTCTTCCAGCCTCCGACAGTCTGATAGAAGTGATGAAGGACACACAGCCCTGCCTCACGTAATTAAACCTTCTATGTGTGTGTGTGCATGAATGTGTATATAAACCTGCACCCAACAGCAAGATGGATGGAGATAAGCTCTTGTATATTTATGCAGCGTCCAAGTTAATGTGTTTATGGGCATAGTGCCTCACGTTTTTCATCTTACATTGGAACTGTAGACTATTGGTGCCGGTATTTATGTGACGCTCTGCATGTTGTTGCCCTCGAAGCATCTGGAAGTGGTTAGACAGACGCAATTAACACAAGCCAGCCAGCTGGAGACATTTGGACCCTACTTTCTCGTTCAATAGACTGCCCCCTAGAAGTATTTGGGAAATTAAGAAAGTGTTTTATTTCATTTGAAAACTTTTATTTGTGGCATTCGTGAACAAGCCGCACTAGTGTGTAGTTTGAGAGCAGATTGAGGGTATGTTTACATGACAACAATGTAATAATAATTCGCAAGTTTTTCCTCAGAATTTTGGAAACGTTTCATTTATAGAGGAAAACTTAGCCTAAATACATTAAATAAATGCTGATTTCTGCATGTCAGGCCAGTAGATGGCGCTATAACTTCATAAAGAAACACAATACATCTGCACACGTATAATTCTGTAGTCCACTGTTGTTGTTTTGGCTGTCAAGCAAACTACTCATGCTTGACTACCAAACTGTAATACACACGCACATTATGTCTGTGTGTCAAAATAATATTGTTATATTTTACATGAAGACAATGACTTCAATATCCACATACACACTTGAGAAGCTAACGTTCACCACAGCACAGGGTAAATATGCAATTTAACCGCTTCAATTCCTTAAAGGATTAGTTGGTCGTTTAGTCATCCTCACGTCATTCCAAACCTTAAAGATGAAATCCTGTTTATCTTAAGAATACACACTAGGTTTATAATTTTATAGTGGTTTTAATGGAATCGTGATGCTTTTTGTCTCTCTATTGATTTAGTATAGGTAAATACAAGTAAAAAATATATGAAATAAAATAAAATAAAAATAACAATAATATTAATATTAAAAATAACTTTTTATGTGTTTTGCGCAAAGAGCATCATTATCTCAGACATTAATTCTGGAATCTGGTGTTGGTTTCTATAGTGTAAACATTGTTGGATTAGGAGATTCCTCCTCAGGCCCGGATTGGCTAATCGGGAGGACCGGGAGAATTCCCGGTGGGCCGGTCCGTTTTTGGCCGTGAGGGCCGGTGTCCCTAGTTCCAGAATCGGTTGCTCTCAGCAGTCACACTTTTTAAAAATAATTTATTTATTTACTTGACCACAGCCTTCTTATTCATTATTTTACCGCAGCTCTGCTCTTTTTATCTATTTTCTCGTAGCCTCGTGAGCAGGATGCAGGTTAATGATGATATAACTAGATAAGTCACCATTAAACGTACAGCTGTTGTGGTACAGTGGTTAGTACGTTAGATTATGACGCGGTCAACCTGGGTTCGGTCCTTGTCTGAGTAACAATTTTTTTTTTTCATTTTTATTGTTAAGACATAATACTGTAAGGGTTGTTGAACATTTTAAGTTCTAAAAGAGCTGTTTTCTCAAAAAAGAGACGTGATAGTGTAATTGGAAACTGAATTGGAAATAACCTTATTTTAATATAGTCAGTGGTGAACTGAGGTGGGCCGGTCTGAGGCTTGAAACTCCAGGGCTGAAAAAGAGTCCCACTCCGGCCCTGTTCCTCCTAATGTGTAAAATGCTTCCAGTGTCCGGAAAAGCGCTATATAAATGTATGGAATTATTATTATTATTATTATTATTATTATTATTCATTCATTTTCTTGTCGGCTTAGTCCCTTTATTAATCCGGGGTCGCCACAGCGGAATGAACCGCCAACTTATCCGGCAAGTTTTTACACAGCGGATGCCCTTCCAGCCGCAACCCATCTCTAGGAAACATTCACACAAATTCACACACACACTCATACACTACGGACAATTTAGCCTACCCAATTCACCTGTACCGCATGTCTTTGGGCTGTGGGGGAAACCGGAGCACCCAGAAGAAACCCACGCGAAGGCAGGGAGAACATGCAAACTCCACACAGAAACGCCAACTGAGCCGAGGTTCGACCCAGCGACCTTCTTGCTGTGAGGCAACAGCACTACCTACTACGCCACTGCCTCGCCTTATTATTATTATTATTAGTATTATTGATAATAATAAATAAAGGAATATGTGAATACAAGTCAAAAATTATTTTTTTGATAGGTCAGAATTCTGGGTAAATAAAAATCTCACAGAATTGATTACATATAGTATATATTTATTTGTGTTTGAGTGATATTTAAAATATACAGTAATTGAAATATAATACATATAAATAAATACAGAAATTAATTACATTGGTTTAGCGTGAACTGAAACTAAAACAGTTTATTTTAAAACAATAAGAGTTAAAGTAATATAGATATTAATGATATTAGAAACTAAATTTGTATCAGAAATAATGTATGTTTGACATTCAAAGGGTTTATTGGGTCAGTTAAAAGCATAAGGCTCTATTAATCACGTATAAACTGGTAAATCACATAGCATGTTCTCACAAGGTAACTATTTTACATATTGACAGAACAGTGGCGAATTCATATGATTTCGTTAGTAACTTGCTTAGTAGATGATTAACTTTCACGAATGAATTGTTCACAAAATCACAATGTGCACTATCAAAATAATTATTATTATTTATTTATTTTTTTTTACCTCAGACAGACTTTAAAGACTTTAACTGAGAATAATAAAAAAAAAGAGACTCAAAAATGGTAATAATAAATGTTTACAAAGCGATGTAATACTTTCGAAAATCACGATCGCAATAAATACATCCAAGCCTAATATCCGATGGCCAGAAAGTGATTCAATTTTTAGAAATTGTTAAAAGTTTGGAATTTGTGATGCAGCAAGTCCAGAGACTGTTTTGTACACTATGATTTTATATAAAATTCACTTTAAAGTGTGACAGGACTAAAACTTGACCATAAACAAATATTTTCTCAATTCTATTAAGTAGCAGCTTGGACCCGGAAACAGTATTTCATACATCGCCGTTTCATACAACTGTCTAGTGTTCATTTTATCTGAAATGTGAAGCATTTTTATGCATCATTCTTTAATATTTGGTATTTAATATTTGGTATTTAATATTAGAGTTGAGGTGCTCAAAAATACATATTCGGGGCTCTAAAGAAATTATACGAACATAAAAATTCCTCCATTTCAAGAATTATGCAAGATAATTCATCTACAATGACGTCAATGGGGTTGAGGCGCTCAAAATTTCTTTTTGGGACTATAAAGAAATTAAAAAATATAAACATTCCTCAATTACAAGAGTTACGCAAGATGCCATGATCCAGTATGACTTTCAGCAGCTCATGGTACGGTCAGTACAGACTCACCCATCACTCCACACTACTGATGAAAGACTCCTGAAATAGGATTATTAACTCTACCTTCACAGACGGATAGTTCTGGAGTTGAAGCAGTCTTAGTCAATTTTCAATAGAGAGCAAATTAGAAACTTTAGTTTAAGGCTCTTACATCTCAGAGATTAATAGGCTATATTTTAAATATCTCAAACTAAACGCGAGTTTGGGTTACGAGATCAAACAAACCAGATGAAAACTCTCACTGTATGCCACTTTCTGTTTTTCATGCTGCAGTTTGGTAGTAACCTCCAACACAAAGTCAATATGAAGCGAAGACCTCAAATTACTCTCCAGATCTACGTGATTGATTTTCAGACTCCAATAACCAAACTATTTATTCTAAAGCACATTAAGATGCTGAAGATGTTGTTTCCTACCTTTTTCATAATTTTCCAAACTAGTTAACAGACTTCTGTCCACAAAACTAGAAATCCTTCATGTGAAAGAAACAAATCACCGCATGCTAGAAGTCCTGAGTGTCCCGTTGTCAAATGTGTAATGTGAGAACAGTCCTCTTCCAACACCTCAAACTATAAACCTTTGAGGAGACCCAGTGAAACCATGCCCAGGACAACACAACGCAGGGCTTTTCCTGACCACGTCTTCCAACCCCCGCCCTTCTTCCTCGTGTGTGTGTGTGTGTGTGTGTGTGTTCACTCACCCCACGGCACCGGCCTCAGTTTCCGTCCGTTCTCCAACAATGCCCCCCTCTCTCTCTCTTGTCTGTCCCACCAGAGTCAAAATTCTTGCTCTGTCTAACTATTGGCTATGATGTCATGAATAAAGGGGGTGTGGTTTTAAAAGAGGGGGTGTGTCCTGTGTCCTGTACTCTTACAATCAGTGCTGTGTCCAAGTCCTGGACAGAGGGAGTCTCTAAAACTCCTCCACCGGCCGGCAGACACCTTACAAGGAAAAGCGCAGTGCGGCTGGGTGTGGATCTGATTCCGAGTACACTGGCTGAATTCTCTTACTCATACTAGATGAGTTTACACACACACACATCTAAGAAGCTGAAGCTAACGTTCACCACAGCACAAGGAAAATATGCAGTTTCAACAGCTTCAATTCTTAAAGGATTAGTTCATCGTTTAGTCATCCTCATGTCATTCCAAATCATTAGGATGTTTGTTTATCTTCATAATACACTCTGTAGGTTTATCATTTTATAGTGTTTTTAATTGAATTGTAAAGATTTCAGTCACTCCACAGGGCTCACAAAATGTTTAAATCCCTGGTAGCCCTCAGGCTGGCACTCTTCAGTTATTGGTGGAGTTATATAGCCAAAAAGAAAACACATTACACAAATACAAAAACATACATTTACTAAATAAAAAAAATATACAGTTGAAGTTATTATTAGATTAAATTAACTAATTATTAGACCGCTTGTTTATTTTTTCAGAGAAGATTTTCAGAGAGAAGATTTTTTTCAACACATTTCTAAACATAATGGTTTTAATAAATCCTTTCTAATAACTGATTTATTTAATCTTTGCCATGATGACAATAAAAAATATTTGACTAGATATTTTTCAAGACACTTCCATACAGCTTAAAAGGATATTTCAAGACTTAACTAGGTTAATTAGGTTAACTAGGCAGGTTAGCGTAATTAGGCATTGTAGATTGTAGATTGTAGTGTTCTGTAGATTAGAGAAAAAATAAAGGGGCTAATAATTTTGTCCCTAAAATGGTGTTTAAAAAATTAAAAACTGCTTTTCTTCTAGCCAAAGTAAAAAAATAAGACTTTATTCAGAAGAAAAAAATATTATCAGACATACTGTGAAAATTTCATTGCTCTGTTAAACATAATTTGGGAAATATTTAAAAAAGAATAAAATTCGAAGGGGGCTAATAATTCTGACTTCAACTCTATATGTAATGGCATAGGCTATATGTATTTTTAAAATAACGAAAAATTTATTTAACATTTTTATTTGCTAATATTTGTTTAAATAATCAAAGTAACTACAAAAACTTTTCAGAATATTGCAGGGTAGTTATTTCTAAACGAATAACAATAATATACATATATTCAGAATCTTCCTTATGGTTATTTTTGGTTATTCAATTAACATATAGCTGACTTAATACTAGATAGTTCACCCAAAAACTTAAAAACTATGTTTTACAATTCATATCTGTTTGTGTTTCTTTCTCTTTTTTTTTGTAAACATGTAAGAAGAAGTTTTAAAGAGAGCATAAAATGCTTCAAATATCTCTATTTGTGTTAAAAAAAATAAAAATAAAGCCCTGGGACGTCGGGCTTCCAGATTGTACGAGCCCTGCTTCGTTGACTTACTGAGCCCTGTCGTACACCCAGCGCAAAAAGGTGCAAGACGTGTTTGCCACGATTTGTTGCTATTTTCAGATCAACGCAACCCTAATTGTCTCGCTTTGCACCACGTTGTTCATTTTATTCATGACAATTTGTTTTTGTATAATGTTATTAATAGTAGCAGTATCATTAATTATTTTTTGCACATTTCTATATATTTTAAAACAAACAAAAAAAGGTTTAGATTTGTTTACCGGTCAGCTTTTGTAGACGCAAGCATCACCATACGAATAAGAACAGGATGTGTGTTTAAATGTAACTAATTTTTTTGACCACACTTCGTTACTATTGTTCATTTATTAGTTTTCTGGAAATTAAAACTGAATTCAGAAATAGTTTTGAAACAAATCTTTGTGCTTAACAAACTAAATTAATTATGTAGGCTAATGGATGACTTCAGTGGAGTGTGTATAACACTGTTTTCCTATCCATAAAAGTAAAGGAGTAAAGAGTGAAAGTAAAGAGGCTAAACGGAGGAGACTCGTTCTTTATCCTCGCGCTGCAGATGGTTTGTTTAACTGCTTTCTCGCTAGTAAATCGGGCAGTATTTTCACTTACAAAGTCTGCAATGTAAATAGCAAATGCACCATGGCGTGATCTTAATGTGAATGTGAGATGAGACTCTGATTGGTCTAATGCATGCTATGCTCAAAACACACCTATAACTCATTAACAGAATAAGCACAACCCTGTTAGACCATGTTCCACGGTGCAGAGCTTATTTTTTTGTCCTTAAAAATAGCAAAAGTGTATTCGGACATGCCCTTAATGCTTTTGCGCCTTGCGCTTTAGACTTTGTGCCTAGATCATTAAAATAAAGCCCACTGTTTCTAGGTAAATACAAGTCAGAAAGAAAAATAATAATAAAAAAAATCTATAACATCTGTGCGAAGAGCATCCTGTTCACGGATACTTATTCTGGAATCTGATGTATGGTTCTATAGTGGAAACACGGAATATGTGAATACAAGTCAAAAATATTTATGATTTTTTTTTTGATGGGTCAGAGTTGTGTGTAAATATAAATCTCTTAGAATTGAATGCAAATATTTTTATTTGTGTTGGAGCAACAGTTTGTTTAAAATAAACAGCAACTGAAATAAAATACATTTACAGAAACTGATTGGTTTAGCGTGAACTAGAAACTGGAGTTTTTAAATCAGAGTTAAGATGACTAAATATAAATATAAAAAATATTAACAACTAAATTTGTATCAGTATTAAAGTATGAGTTAAAGGAAATACATGATTGACTAAAGCATGTTACTGAAAATGTTAACTAATGTAATTCTTGTACTACACATGTTTTTAAAAGATTAAATTATCCAAACTTTTCAAGGAATACACAGAATTATTGCTTTTCATTTGGGTTTCAATTAAATCAAATGTAAAATAAAAATAAGAACTCGCTTTTAAAATGCTTCAACGATTACAATGGAGTTTGCTCAATCTCTCTGTCAATCATGACTCTATTCAGGAATTTAGCCACAGAAGCATGTAATATTTGAATGCCTTATCAGGCCATGCAGTACACGTTGTGAATGTATGGGTAGATGATTAAATAGCCTAGTTATTGTTTTCAGTGAAACCTCAAAATAGAAGTTCGTACAGTGCGTCCCTGACAAAACCCTGGTGAGATTACAGTGTAGAAATACTATAATGTCCTTGTGGCAACAAGAGCTTGTTTAAATGAGCAACAATAGAATTACAGATAAGAGCAAAAGAGATCCAAGATTTCTGTGAGAACTGACTACATACAAGGCTGCTAAAGAGACTTTGTGCTAATAATAACAGCAGCACATGCTCAGTTCTCTTCAGAGACACACAAAGACTGTAGTATAACCTTCACGTCAAGCCAGAAACAAGACTTTTATAGACATATCAATGATAGACTTACTAAAACTGCTCACTTGGAGTGATGCTTTTTGAATAGCATTGTCATCTCCTTGCAGTATGTATACATTTTGGAACAGGGTAGTGCTTCTTTGAAATGAATGCGGGACCAAGGTACAGTGGAGGACTGTGGCCATAGTGGCCATCCACATCCATATCCATAGTAACAAGCAAACAAAGAAAACAAACCACAAAGGCAGAACATTTCATAGGTAATATTAAGTTTTTTTCTATTTTTGTATGTTCTGAACTTTTGTGCTAAACGTTATTGATGATAATACAGTCACTGCATTCACTATAAGTCAAAGTAGCTTCAACTCGCACTAAACACTCGGCTTATGCTAGTTTTGTTGAATAAAATCAGCAAACAATGCAAAAGAAATATGAAAACGAGATGCTGCGGTGCCAGAAACTCGGCTAGTAAAGGAGTCTTTCATAACGGAGATTCATTCACAAACGAATCGCTCCCTCTGTCAGTATGAGAAGTGAAAGCAGGAGAGGAGGTGTGTTTCAGGACATGATTAGATCAAATTTAACAGGGAGGGTGGATAGTACATTTCTGTACACACAAACACAAGCTTTTTGTCAGGAATGCCAGTGCGATAACTTATCCATTAATGTAGAAAAGTGATGTAAAATTATAATTTTCGTAATCAAAAAAATAAATGCATACTAACATCCAGGAAAACTCCCGATCATAGATATATGTGTATATCTCTGGCTTTGGATGGCCACAGTCCTCTACTGTACCTTGGTCCTGCATTCATTTCAAAGGAGCGCTACCCTGTTCCAAAATGGCGGCTCTATTGACGGATTCCTTCCAATAGACAACAACAGGGTAGGCGACATCTAATGTATATATCTATGATTAGTTATAAAATTATTTCATTTAAGACAAATTAGTTACAAGTAAGACAAATGATCTATTAAAACTCTCATTTTAGATTTGAATCTGTTTCTTACTATTTACACTCTAGCCATTGAATTGTTGTATAAACACAATATCACACATGTAGCAGTGCGATATGGCTGTATATTAGCACATCCATGATTACCTACGGCAGCAATACGATTATTGCATGCAATGCATTAGGGGTTTCACGATTTCGATTTTTAAACGAAATCGATCGAAATTTATGCTCAATTTCGATTATCGAATCCAAAAATAGAATCGTCGATGCTGCCAAGCCCCCACGTCACGTCAGCGGCAAAATAACAGGCTTGTTGAAGTCCTTGTTAAACTGCAGAAGCAG